CGGGGTCTGGAAGGGGCTTGCCATTGTCTGGGGCTGATTAAGTCGATGGTTAATGTATCCTCCTTGTTTAAAAGACAATAGATCGTCCTTTAACGTATCTAATTCGCTTTTAAATTTACTAATGTTTTCCATTTGTACTTCTTGCTTCCTTTCTTGTTCCAGTTGCCACTGCTGTAGTCTCTCTTCTTGTTTATTTTCTCGTTCTCCTTGTTTATTTTCTTTCTACTCTAACAACTGCTGTAAGTTCTCTTCTTGTTTATTTTCTTTTTCCTCCAACAACTGCTGTAATTTCTCTTCTTGTGTTTATTTTGTTCTTCGAGCTGCCACTGTTGCAGGTTTTCTTGCAACTGCTGTTGTCTCTCTTCTTGTTTCTTTTCTTTTTCCTCCAACAACTGCTGTAATCTCTCTTCTTGTTTAATTTCTCGTTCTTCTTGTTTCTTTTCTTGTTTAATTTCTCGTTCTTCTTGTTTCTTTTCTCGTTTTTCTTGTTTCTTTTGTTGTTCTTGTATTGCTGCCATCAAGTCTGCTATGCTGTAGTTTGATTTGCCGCTTTTCGTTTCCATTTTTTTTTTATCCCACTTCTGACACCAATTTGTTACGTCTCCGTTCGTTAGTTGATTTTCCGTAACTTCGTTCCGACGAAACTTTAGTGACACAAGTCCTTACTTAATAAAACTGGTTTATTCTTTCTGAATATAACTTTACCGATACACTTATTTTCAACAGTCGCTCTATAACAAACGCTATAACAACGAACGTTAACTTCAACAATACTTTCTGACTGCAGTTCAATTACTCACTACCTACACACATTGTCCCGTCACGTTGTGACCATCCTATATATACCAGCCTACCCCCAATCTAGTAAATGCTAGGGCATTCACGAAGGAACGGGATATTTCTAGAAAGCAGGTGGCGTGACACTAGTCACGTGACCTCGCTGACGCAACAATAATAATAAAAACCGCCTAAGGACTATGGTATTTAATAGGTTATCAAAAGCTTCTGCAAAAACGCAGGCTCGCTCAAGAAATGTTATGTAAAGATTAAATTAAACATAGACAACAAAGAAAAACAAATACATAAGCGAACATATAAAAATAATTCACAAATATTTTTATAGTTATTACCAACTGGTCAGCTTTTTTTTCCCTCTCATTGCGATTTCAACTGATTGTTTGGGTAAAGATGTTTTCCGAAATGCTGTACTTTTCGACATCCTGTTTACAATGATGTCATAACTACTGGCAAAATAAATGCATGGGAATTTAGAAAAAGTTACCTGAATGATATATTGCAGAATAGTTATGGAAAGGTTAAATTATAGATTATTTCCACTTTGACAGGATTTTACGACCTACAGATAATAATTTGATAACCGTGTTTAGCATTTACTTCAATTACTGTACAGAGCTCATCTTTATTGCTCATCTTATGAAGGAGAGCAGAAGTGAAACAAACAGCCATCCAAGTACACAACCATAAAGTTAGTTTTTTTTTGTTGTTTTTTTTATCAATATTAGTTTTTGAGAAAAATAGACAATGGACTATCTGCGCTGTACAGTCAGGACGATCAAATCCAGAATTTTAGTCTTATAAATTTTGAAGCTTACAGCTGAGTCATAGGGCATATATGTGAAACAATATGATTTTAATTGTGTACCAGTTTAACGTTGAGAAGTGCCAAAATACTATAACTAAATGCATGTTTTACTAACCTACTCTTGGCACATATATATATATATGCCGTAAGAGGGCGCACAAAGCACCTAGTGGATTGAAATGGATGTATGGAAAGTTGTTTGTTGTTCTTGTTTATTGAGTTTGATTCATAAGAAATAATCTATTATAAAAGGCTGTAAGCGTTATAAAAATAACAACTAAAGAATTGGAGTGCTGTCCTTAACATTACAAAGCAATCGCGCGTAAATTTTACCTTTATCATGTATGGTTTGAAGTTGAACTGTGTAGATTTGCAGTTACACTTACATGGTATAGTTACAAACTTAGTTGCGCTTGCAAGTTGCAGTATTGAGCTATTACAGTTCATAAGTTATAATATTAAATAATACTATATAATAATAGTCACTGTATGATTGTATCATGTATGAGTTAGACGAAATAATAATTTCGTTAACTGATAGTGATAGAAAGTGTATGCTTGGCTTCTGTCTGTGACTCAGAGTGAGACAAACGTTTACTGGCAATACCACTTAGTAACATTAACAATATCGTCTACATACACAACAACATTTTGATTATTGTTAGTAACAAATTCATTGCACGTTAGTTTTTGAGTATAATACAATGTGAAACTTGGGTAAATTATAATATACAGTAACAGATAAAACAAAATGGCATCTAATTGTAATAATAATTAATATACAGTTTGGTAAGAATCTGAAATAAATATTTTATATTTAAGTGTTAAGTATTAAAACGTTTAGTGTAATTATTACACACGTAATATGTAGGTACCTACACTTATAGTAACAGTGAGAGCATAAAGTAACTACTTCATGGACTAAAGAATTGTTTGAAATTTATAGTTTACCATTCCTGCTGGACCAGGTGTGGCCTAGTGGTTAACTTGCCTGACTGTGAACCCAAGATTTTATGGTTCGTGCCCCACAAAATTGCACTCTGTACTTTTAAATCTATGAGTGCTTTTATAAGAGTGATGGTCAAATTCTGCTATTTGGTCAAATAGGAATACTCCATAAATTAGATGTCAGTGCAGTTGACTAACTGCCTTCACTCTAGTGCATCAGTTCAAAATTAAGAAAGGCTAGCACAGGTAACCCATGTGTAGCTTTGCACAAATATCAAAAACAAACAAAACCAATCTTGTTGATTGTGCAAGAGTATGTGGCATGCCCTGTAATGGTATTACAGGTTGTTATTAGAATAACATTTTCTTTTTTTTTATAGATTGTTTAATAGGAATTGTTTACTTCATCATCACTTTACTTAAATATCAGATTCAGTTAGAAAATATTTATTTCATATGTCACAGTTATAAAAACTCACATTCCATTCTAACATTTTCAGTGTAATCTATTAAACAATAAGACTAACTTGCTGACTTACCAATTCTTTTAAGTGATGAGTAAAACCAATTCAAGTAAAGAAATAATAAGTGTTTAAATAAATAAATAATAATGTGTTATTAACCCTTATTCTGATTTGTAAATAATTCATATAAAATTTACAAAAATTACATTTCATCAACTTATCTAGTTCATACCATAACAGTTGTTGCTCATTCAATTTGGTAATGTCTCAGTTGCTACTGTGTCTGTCGTATCCAGATTGGCCTGATGAGACCTGACACTTTGTGAAGAGCCTCATCAGCACTTGATATTGTACATATAGTGTGATTGACATATTGTTATAGATACTTCCATCTTTTACTCGTAAATTCTTATACTTACTAATATAGGCTTCTTCCATTAATGTTGTTGCTTTACCTGCTCTGGAAACAATATGACTAGTTAGCTGGTTTTCCAGTTCTTTTGAATGGTGAGGGAAGTTAATTCAAGTACAAAATTAAAAATAAAATTTTTATGTTATTAATTCTTACCCTAATTTGATAAAGCTGTTAGAGGTCATTCCATACATTATTTAACAGCATTAAAAAAAATTGTAGAATGATAAATTTCAAATGTTTTGTTTTAACTGTCAGATTATTTGCTAGGTTAAATATGTATATGATACAGCTAAATATTTAGCTATAATTTAGTAAAGATGATTTACAAAAGAATTGTTTTTTGTCGGTCCAGTATAAATACCTTGATGGGGTTAACATAGGTACTTATAAAAGGAGTAGAAAGGGTATTGGTGAGAGGAAAAAAAAATTTAAATGGCTAAACATTAGACTGTGAAATCTTATCTTAAACAATTGGGAATGCACCATATTATATCTAACATTCTAAAGAATTTTTTTAATCACAGAATTCTTTTCTCAAAATCTCCATAAAATCTTTAAAGAATTGCTTCAAGTCTACGGGGTGTCTAGAATGTCTGGAACCATAGGTGATTTGCAGCTTTTCATAATTTCAGATACATGACTAACTATGGCACTATCAAAGTATAAGAAGGTTGAATTAATCCTGTTCTTAATCCAAACTTGTTTTTAATTAAAAGGACAGCATGTGGAAGACATTCTGTAAAATTCATTGAAGTGCCTATGGTTTCAGACTTTTCAGACACCTTGTAGTGTTCAATAATTTTGAGAGGCCATGCCTACTCACAGTGTCAAGAAAATTATGTGCATGATAATATTAAATATTTTTCATTGTCAGTACACCCTTAATCATTGTAATGTGAATTTTTATGTTTCTTAATAAAACAGATATGTTGGTTATAATTTATCTATTATTAAATGTAAGAATAGGCAAAGTGACATAGGGGCATCAATGTTACCCATCTCTTACAACTTGTACAAGTTTAAGGCATTTCATTACATTGCACTGTGAAAAGAATAGCTATAGCGAAGGAAAAAAGGAATTTGACAATTTTAGACAATGAGAAATTGTAAATTGGATGTTTGAATGTAAATAAGCTAACAGCATCAGAACACATTTTAAATATAATGGATTTTTAACCATACCTAAATATGTTACTAGTATGCATAATTTAAAAAGTTTTTACTGTGCATTTTTACTATAAAAACTTTTATTTACTCATAGAATTTTGCTGTAACAAGAATGTGAAAAAGTTAACGTTGATTTTCAAATATATTAAAATTTGTAGTTGTATTATATTTTCAAGATAATAATGGCATATTTATCTTAGTAGATTTACAAAATTTTGAAACTTTAGATATTTATAGATGTATTATAATGCATATCTGATAAGAATTTAATAAAACTTTAACTGCTTTTACATCAATGATATTTCAATGTGTTTAGCAAGTGAAATAACAAATCAAGAATTTTATAGTTATACACTTTTTTCAGTTGCACATCATTATATCCTTCCATTATAGTCCAAAAAAGGTTAAGTACATCATTAAAGGGGATATTTTTAATGTAGACATGTCTATAACTTACACCAGTTAAGTGTAAACAATGACAAAATATTTGAATGTCATCATTCCTTATTTGTTGAATATTATTTTTAGGTTTAATGTATCCAAGCAATATACATAAATAAAAATGGCAATGTTTTGCAGGGAGTTTCCTTGACCAGCTAAAACTTTGAAAAAAAAAACACTTTTTTTAAGATTTAAAACTTAATAATGTTTAATCATTTACGTAAAACATTTGGACCTGGCATGGCCTGGTGATTCAGGTGTCCTACTCGCAATATGAGGGTCACGAGTGTAAAAATTCGTAATTTACAAAAATACTTACCGACTCCAAATTAGTTGGGATTAAAAAAAACCATTGAAAACATTATTGAAAAAACAAACAAGGACAACTAATATGGTTGGAGACGGCTTGAATGGGTAATGAAGAAAAACTTTAATGATGATGACAAAACCTTGTTGAAACATTGTACATTTGCTGTTATGTTAAACTTATATTAAAGTTTTTCTTCATTACCCATTCAAGCCATCTCCAACCATTAATTGCTCCAGAAGTTAATTTTTTCAGTCAAAAATTATAATTTGCAATCATTCCAGAAGTAAAGTTTGATTAAATTACTAGTAACTCTGTCATGGTCAGAATATCATTTGATACCATGAATGCTGAAGTACCTGTATCAAAATATTGATGGTTTTAAGCAATACCTGAGGGAACAACAGAAGGAGTCAAATACTATATTAACTGTAAAAGATAAAGATATATTCTGTATTCTATGCTGTAGAAAAATATATTTGGGTTGTACCGAAATTGATTTCATATTATTGTCTGTCTTGTTGTCCATGTATTCAACTTTTTGCCCACCTTAATATGCAACTGCTCATCCAAAGTACAAGTGAATAGTTCACTGGCTAAAGGCCTTTATGTAGGTTCCTTTTTGTTTTTATCATTTTAAAAAAATGTTTAAAACTAATCTAATTTTAGACTGCTTTTTATAATTGTCTTCTCACATATTTTGCATTCTTTCATTTTTCAGCGTGAAGAGAAAGCTCTTGAAGCAGCAATAGATGCCCTCATTAGTAGAACACAGGATGTGAAAAATTCTTTAACTTCATTTCTAATGAAACTAGAAACAGAATATGAAACAATAAACTGGTGAGTACTCTTATTGTTTCAATCAGTATTAACAAGTTTTGGTGACCACGTCACTAAGAAACAATAAATCTATGCTTTATTTTAGTTTAATGTAATTGTTTTAAAATTTTGATAATACACCTCTGAAGATAAATAATCTTTAACAAGAAATAATTGGAAGATTAAAAAAAACTATAACAGTACAACATAAACAACACAATTCACAAACTTTGTCTCACATCAAATAAAATCTTTATTTCTCATACCATCATATTATAACATGTCACAACTAAATGACAATATAATTCCAGTGAAACACAGCATTATCAAATATTTTGAACTTTAATAACCTGAGTACTAGTAGTAAACCCCAACATTCAAATAAATGAAAAAAAAATCTCATGAGTTAAAGTAGAATTTAAAAATGCAAAACAAATTAAAGTTGTGGTACAATCTATGTTATCTCTCTCCCCTTTTAGATTATAGTTTCAAAATAAAGTTGTAATGCAATCCATGGTATCTCTCCCCTAAAAGTTACAGGAGAGAACCTGGCTTTATGTACTAGTACAATAATCATTAATTGAGCCAGGTTGGTCATGAAATGCTTATCATGCACTTGATCTTTGTCAACCCATTTATGTGAAAAGGTGTGGTAGCCACAGGCCATTTCAATTTGTCCATATTAAATAAGGTACATGGTACCATCCCGCATCACAGTTATATAACATTGAAAATTTAGTAACGTTCACTTTTTCAATATCATGAATTACAATAGATCAATTTTGAGGAATGCATTCACTCTAAAAAGTGTAATGTGCTGTTATAGACAGAATATCAAAATTTATCTTTGAAGTATAATGCTATGTAAAAATCTTATATTTTTAAGTTAGAGTGAATTTAGAAAAGTTTATTTATACCCCCTTTCTTAGCATATTGATATCACTAATAATTTTCTCCATACAGTAGGAGTAGGAATATTTAAAAACAGAATAATTATGCTTCTAAAAGATACAGATTTTGTATTTATTATGTTAGAATTAACTATTATTTTTCAAAAGTTTGTTGACTCTATGGAAACTTTTGATGATTGAAAAATAATCAGAATGAACCCTGATATTAAAAAAGTAAGTGTCAAGAGTGGATCTGAGTTGAGTTTATCTAGATTCTGGAAAATCTGATCCCCTAAGGTCAGCCTGAAAAGACATGGTTAGGATTGTACAACCATATAAAAAGTATTAAGTTAAACATGTTTATAAATTAGCATATGTGCAGACGTTGTATATGAAGATCTAAAAAATTTAAGTTGACTATAATGTTTTAGCATAGTTAACCCTGGAGAATGGCATTAATATTTTGAGATTTTCATGCATATTATGATGACTCACTATAATATCAGTTTGATCTTTCATTTCCTTCTGCCTTGTTTTCAAAGGAAAACTGGGTTACTGTGTGATAGTATGCTCCATCCATGTCTATAATTTGCTTTTGTTTTACAAAGCCAATGGAAAATCAGTTCATGTTTTAAAAGCTGTGTTAAAGATTTCCTCATAAATTACCAATACCAGTTGTTTTTATCTAATGTTATATATGTCTCATAAGTTTAACAAAGCAGTTGTGTAGTGAAATTTATAATCAATTTTTGAATAACAAAGACAGCTATTTAGACTTCTTCGTGGTGCTTAAATATGGAAGATATTTCCAAGAGGCATCATGAGTCAAAAGCAAATGACTACTTATTCAATTATGTACAAGCTGCCCCGTGTCAGATAACAATACAAAGAATTAAATTGTGGCAGATTGCT